ACACGGACATCCCCAGGGTGTAAACAAGGGTTCTTCGCAACAACTACCTTTCCCTCAACAATGAATTTCTGGTTCAATTCACTTCCAATATGTCTGTTACCAGAGAATTGCACAAACACCTCACCATATTCCAATGTTCTAGTTTCATCTAGACATCCCATCATTGCTCTTCCATCTGGAATAAGGATTCTTGTTTTGGTCCGCAACTCTAACAACTTTGATGCCCGGAATGTTTGCAGCATCATTGAAATAAATGGTTCAACATCAGGTTTATAACCACACATGAGCAATTCCTTAAGGATGTTTGTACTCTCTCCTGCATACATCATATCCAGAGCCTCACGTGCTTTTAATGGGTCAGTCAACATAGCATCCAATTGTTGTACAGCTGCCCTTTGTTTTTCCAAGAAGACATGATTCTGAATCCCAAGAGTAGATAAAAGAGTTATCAACTGGCGGTTCAGAAAACAAGGCTGAAACTTGCTACATGCTAAAACATCCAACTTTGTATGTTCTGATTCATACTTGTACATACTTCTCCTCAATGATAATTTCTTATATGAAGTCCGATCAACAGCCACCACACCTTTGTACCCACCATATCGAATCTGAAAGGCAGATGGAGTGCACCCTTTAAAGCCACATTTCAAGGCCACTTTCTTAGCAAAATCAGCAGAAATTTTCCCAATCCCATCAGAGAAGACATATTCATTATCGCGACTGACTACATCAGGAATAACTTCAATTTCATGTTCGCCAACATTTAGAGTTTCGGTAGAAGAACCAAAGGATTGACCCAATCTGGCAGCATATTTTGCCACATTTCTTATATGACAAAAATTCCCCATCCACTCTCTTATATCAGCAGCAGTACGTCCCCATCTTGAAGCAAACATCCACATTGAATTCTCCCGCAGTTGACTTGACGAGAATGCAAGAAATTCAAATTTTTTTTCACCAATTACTATGCCGTTTCTGAGAATAGAAAGAATCCTTTTGTAGATGTCAGTTTTGTTCTCCCCGTTTGCATTGGATGTACGCGGAGATAAATCTGCTGCAAAAAGTTTATCCAGCTCCTCATCAACAAATGAAACACGAATGAAGTTGTCAATATCATCTGGATAATTGCGTAGTACACGATTTGAGACGTTGACCTCTGGACCACAACAATATACTTGACATGATGTGATTTGCACCCTGCGTACATATACCAACCCAGAATCTAAGGACATGATGGGTGACAGTGGAGGTTTCTTTGATGTGAGGTACTTCCTATACTGCTCTTGAAGCCACACTGAAGGTTCAGAGCAGCTCTCTTTTAAATGAAACAATTTCTCTAGGGCGAACTCTATACAGGCGAGGTTCATGTTCATCCTGCGTGGATCAAGCAACCTAAAAAAAGTAACATCAAGTGCTGGCCCTGGAAGATACCCATGCTGAACCAGAGAGTTTACTTTAAACAAGATATCATATGGCACATCGACACCTGGAGGAGGGCAAACCATGGCGCCGAGATCAGGGTTGCAAGAATAAGGGGAACCACTCTCCAAGATGTATTCCCCTTTACACTCCTTATACTCAGGAAAGTTTTCTTGAAAATCTGGAAGTTTGAGACCATAAGGAAGCTCCAAGCATAATGTAAAAGACTGCCCAATAGCGCGTGGTGGAGTAAAATCAGTTGTGCGGACCCATTGGTCATCAGGGGTATCCCTGAAATAGTTCAGAAAAGGGTTTTCGTATACTTCTCCTGAACAGCGTACGTCTTTCTTATAAATCCGAGGTGCTCCGCATAACTAATTTTTGAAGACAAATTCATTACGAAACTTTCTTCCAAGATTACATATGCAATAAAATGGATAAAATAATCAATGCAATAAAAGAGAAGACATAATTTTTTGCCAATTGCAGAAGCAAACATGAAATGACTCAAATACATGGCAATGAGAACTGAAACATGCTTCGACAAAACAACCTTAGAAGATATTCAATGATAAGGGTCTACCTTGTTAACCACCCTTAAAGTGGACAAACCTCAGTCTCTCTAGACAATTGTGTTTTGATGCTCTTCAATTTATTCAATATAAAAAACACAGAACAAAGATCGCATATATTGAGCAGCAAATTAACCATGTGGATGACCCACAAAACTATCCAATCTTAAACAGAAAGAAGATTAAATGAATGCCAAGAATATTCAGAGAAGAAATAATTTGGATTCCAACAATAACTAAAAAGTAGGTGAAGAACCTGAATCAGAAGATACTTAGCAGCAGTACGACCACGTGGAGAATGCACCTCAATCTTATAAATGTTCTCATAGGAGAGTTGAAGCTTATATTCCAAATCATGATATTTCAGAAGAAAAATAAATTTCCGCAGTTTAATCCCAAAGTTCACAGAAACATCGTTAGCAGTCCACAGAACATGTAACTTTTCATCTGCGATCTTGCAGCCAAAATGCAATCCTATGTCTTCCAACCTATGCAAAAAGGTTCTTGGCCTCGGTACAATGTCATGCTCCATCTTCCGAGCATTCAGATAGTTCCTCCCATACCTCAGGGCTCTGTTGTTGGCCAAGGAGATAATATCCTCAGCATCATTGGACCTGTCAAACTGGACAATAGCATAATACATTCTCTTATTTTTGGCTTCTCTTAATTTCACAGCATAAACAGATTCTTTTCCTGTAATTGGCTCCAAAAATTCCGAAACTGCTTCTGCGGATAAACCAGAAGGGAATCCATACAACTGTATCGTCTTAACCATCTTGTCATGTGAGTTTAGTCACTGTATTTATGCACCTAAAACATTTCAGTCATAAGAAATACATAACAGTGAACTATACTGGAAGAATTTTATGGAACTTGAGAAGTCAAGAACCAGAAAGCCTCTATGAATCAAAGAAAAGGTAAAGAAATTAAATTGTTGAGATTATTAAGCTAAGAACAAATATGAATCTCATATCACAAAGCACCACAGATTGATAATGCATGTAATTAAGGTTTACCGAACAAGAAACAAACTCATTCAAAAATAGAGACAAAGAATGAAATATATGCAACCTAACAAGTAAAAATATGACCATGTTTTAGACGATCGCCAATTAGAAAGAACAACATGACAATTCTACTCGAAAGGATGAGACTTCGTTATGCACTTGCAGTTGAGAGCAGCACACCAAAAGTAAAGATGTTTAATTGAACAAAACTAAGCACCAAATACCCAACACATCCAAGAACTTGACTACCCATAGATTTATTAAAGACTTCAAAACAAATGAGACAGGGCAAATTAACTCGAATTGTTCCAGTGATCCAAGAAGCGTAAGGGACACAGAGTTATCAGGGAGAAGCTAAAAGAAAAAGCAAAATAGGAAGCAGAGAAAAGAAAATTCTAAGCCTTAATAGAGAGAGTATACAGCAAGAGACCCACTTCACAATAACTTGATCAAACAAAACTTATCACTCACCAACAAGAATTATAGTATCAAAAACCCAATCCATAAACTTTATATCTCAGATCAGAACATAGTGAAAAAGAAAAGAAAAGAAAAGAAAAAGCAAAAAACATCGTAGCGAAAATTAACTCACATTGTTCCAATGATGCGGGGAAAGAACAGAACAGAACTGAACTAGGAGTGATCAGAAAAAAAAACCCAAAAGAAAAGCAAGGATAACCAAACCTTAGCCAATTTCCAAGTTCGATCAAACACAGAGTCTCTTCATAGTCAACTTCACAGTTATCTTTTTTCAGTCAACAAACTCACATCCTCTGCCTCTAGACGCCCAAGTCTCCTCTACACTCACTCCAAATATAGTAGACGAAGTAAAGGTATTCTCTCCTCTGCCTTTTTTCTTACGTGTGCAGCTGACGTCGGAGTAATCTTTGCCACCCAATGGGCTATCATACTCTACATGCTAGGATTACAAGACTCAATGAGGGCTCAACTGAAGTCGTCTCTAATAGTACAACAAGACACATGCGTTGGCATTCTAGGATTTGTGTCTTTTGTAGCTTTTGCTAAACGCATTCTAGTTTAGCTGTACCAGAAAAGAAAAATGGCATTCTTTTTTTATCTTTTTGTTTTTGGTTTGATAAAAAAAGCTTTGGTGGGACCGGCATATAATTATCGAATATAGTGGTGGATTCCCATGTACTCCGCAAAGTGAACTTCCCGGGGAAGGACACCCCTTATCTTTTCATTAAATCCGAAAATTAGGATACGGATGTGAGCGAAAGTAATATCCCTTTTCTTTATTAAGGATGTGAGTGCAATCACCATTCTCCAAAAATTAAAAAGAAACGAGTCGCTTAATAAAATTAATTTAAATAATTTAAACTATAACTGACTAGTATTTTATGTCCACCACCATTAGAATTAGATGATGATCATGTAATTTGTTGGGAGAAAAACTTTCATGCGGTGAGGATAACATTTTTTTGTTGAAATAAGTTTTCTACGTGTGATTGTGTTATTGGTTGGAAATAGCAAAATAATATTATCCTGTTTTTTATGAATTATTATTGTGGTGGGATCCAGCGTATACTTTTTCTCGTTGGTGAATTATTATCAGAAAAAGTGAAATAGATTTGACATTTGACTACAGGAAGTGAACTTCCCCAGCAAGGAGTTCCAAGCACCAATCCAGTGTGCACCATACCATACTACTATACTTTCTCCATTTTATTTTATTTTATTTTATTTTGAATGATGCATATGCACTTTGAAATAAAATCTTCAAACACATATACACTCTCTAGATCTAGAACTACATGCCGTTTAATGCCTTATAAAATAAAGAAAGAATCGAAAAGTCAGTAAAATCAACGGTCTTAACTCTTTCTTTAAAGAGTACCAATCAATTAATTACAATCTGAAAGCGTCGTGTCGTGTAATTAGTATTCACATATCATAACTTCATAAGAGCGCGGGCTATATAGTTCGGCCCAATTTCAACCTTATTTTTCAAAAATTTATTTTTCCTATTTATGGTTGTTTTGCCATCCAAATCCAGCCCATCTTATCTTACCGTTAAGGGTCCGTATGAAATTATTATAACTTTTAAATTGCAATCCTATTCCCATTAGGAAACTCGCCAGATGGCTTCTCGGCACGGCTCGCCTCGCAATTTCGGCTCCGGGCGGATGGGTTCGCGATCAGGTCAGGTTGGTATGTTTTAATGAATTGGGAGTTGGAACTTGGAGGGAAAAAATTAAATTGGTTTCAGAGAAATGAAGAATCTTTTCGTCTTTGAATTTTAATTGATTAAAAGTGTGTTTTGAATTTTGCACGATACTTTGCAATTTCACATCTAATTGACCTAGATTTAATTTACTTTTAATTTGATTAATTAATTATTATCTTCTCTTTTTGGGTGCAGAAAACCAAACATTTGGGGCTGGGAATTGCGCAGTTGGAAACCAGGTTTTGAGAATTGAATGAACTTCACTCACACCACAACAAAGGAGGTATGCATATAATATCTATATTGATATATAGTGTTTACAGGATTGTGAATATGTAAATATAGAAACAATGAAGCTAATTACAAGGACTAAGTGATGACAGACTGGGTATCCAATTACAATCAGTCAGAAAGCAATTCTAATAAACTAAATTACTTACATACACACTTCAATAGCTTAAAGAAAACATTACAAATCATATTTATATACTTAGTTCTAAGGGAAAACATAAACAGCTAGCTAAGAACGTCTTTCGATTTTCCATCAAACTCCCAATGCTGACTTTGTCAAGTGTCATGGCGCTTCAATGATTACTTCAGTGAAGAGTTTCTCCTCTTGATCTGGATGAGCTTGTCAAACACACACCATGGAAAGCTCAGGAAATGATCTCTTTCCATTCCCTTGTTGCAGCAACCCCAGTAATCAGGATGATATGTAACATGGTACCAAGCTGATGCTTTTGCTGCTTGTACATCATTAATATCAGGCTTCATATCCGACTGCATTCCCAGCTTCTCATCAAACCAGGTCCTAGCTTCCTTTATCAATGCCTTTATAGCGTAATGAATCGACTCCAAGTCTTTTTCCCTGCTGAAATTTTTTGATACTGCAGTGATGCTCCCACTTAGTATTTCGGCTTCAGTTTTGTAGCCGTAGTAATCCATCAGGTTTCCCAGCTTGTAGTCATACTCACTTTTGTAATTGATGGCATCTTTGAGGTAGTCTTCAAATCCATCTACCACCATATCAGTGTCATAAAACTTCATAGCAACTTCCATGGTGAAGGATTTAATTGAGCCCGAGTTTGAAGGTGAATCTGATGCAAGCTCAACATGTTTCACCTGTCGGAAAAGCCTCCCAATCACACGTTTTGACTCGTAGGTGGGTTTGTCAACCTTCTCCATGAAATCTGGGTATTTGTGGATACGTACACAGCGTGGCACTTCCACTACCACACCAGTTTTCGGAGAGTCAACAGCATGCGAGCTGAGCTCGGCGAGCTTGATACATGGAGCACTGGCAGCCTTCTGTCGCTCTGTGTCTGCAAAGACAGTATGTGCATTACAAATGATCCCCAAGTTGTCGTTCACTATGTAGTTGGTAAATGACTCTGTAACCTCCTGTAACAAACACAACAGAAGGCAATGAATAAGGCAGAGACAAGATTCAACAAGCGAAGTATATATCTTTCAATATCATTGACTACATTTACTTGATGAATTGAGAAATACCTCCATTGTCACATCATGATCCAATGCAATAGTTGGTGCTGGGGTATAATTCATGGGTAGAACTTGCCGAGGAGGAATTAGATCAGGGTCCCAACTGACAAAGTAAAAATCTCCGTCCAAATCACTTCCAGAGCATTCATTCGGATGAGGCCTAATACAATACAAGGAAAGAAACATAGTCAGTCTGTGAATAGAGAAACACTAATATGCAGGTGCAATATGGAACAAATTTAATTATTTACCGGTTTCCTTTTTGAGGGAAGACTACACAGTCCACCATGTGGTGCAAGGCCGGCACGTTCACAGCCCTAAGAACACGAACATCTCCTGGATGTAAACAGGGGTTTTTAGCAACCACTACGTTTTCCTCAACAATGAAAGTGTCTTCGCTTGAAGTAGCGCTGCTATTGCTATTGCCACCGAAGACGGCACGTTGAGAACACTGCACAAATACCTGACCATATTCCAATGTCCCGGTTTCATCTAGGCATCCCATCAAGGATCTTCCATTTGGAACAAATATCCTCGTCTTGGTCCGCAACTCCACAAGCTTGGATGCACAGAATGCTTGTAGCATCAATGACAGAAATGGTTCTGCATCTGGCTTATAACTACACGCAAGCATTTCCTTCAAAACGTCGGTGACCTCTCCTTGGAATATCATTTCAAGTGCTTGCAGTGCTCTTAATGGGTCAGCCAAAACACCTTCCAATTGTTTCAAAGCCTCGTTTTGCTTTTTCACGAAAACTATATCGGGGACTCCGAGGGTGGACAAAAGGGTGATCAGTTGACGATTAAGGAAACAAGGTTGGTACCTGCTCCATGCCAGAACATCTAGTTTTGTGTTGTTGGATTGGTACTTGCACATGCTATCTCGCAGTGCCAACTTCTTTGACAATGTAGGATCAACTGCCACAACACCTTTATAGCCACCGAGTCGAATTTGAAAGGCGGATGGAGGAGTACTTTTGCCGCACTTGCTTGCCACTCGTCCAGCAAACTCAGCAGATATCTTCCCAATTCCATCAGAAAAACAATATTTAACTCCACCTCTTTCAGTTTTTACATCAGGAATGAATTCGATTTCATCCCTACCAACATCAAAAGTCTCCCTTGAAGAGCTGAAAGCCTGACCCAACCTGGCAGCATGTTTTGCTACATTTTTTATTTCACTAAAATCACCCATCCAATTTCTGATGTCTTGTGCAGTCAACTCACTTCTAGAAGCAAACATCCACACAGAATGCTCTCGTAATTGACTCGACGAATGGGCAAGAAACTCAAACTTCTTTTCACCAATGACTATGCCATTTCTTAGAGTAGAAAGTATCCTTTCATAAACTCCAGTTCTCCTTTCCTCTTCTGTAGAAGTTGTAGAATTTGTCCGTGGACATAAATCTCCTGAACGCATCTTACCCATGTCCTCATCCACGAAAGAAACACGAAGGAAATTGTCAATATCTTCAGGATAATTTCGTAAAACACGATTGGATATATTTGCCTCTGGACCACAGAAGTAAACGTTAGATGGTGTTACTTGAACCCTGTGCACGTACACCATCCCATCATCTAAAGAAATGGCTGGCGACTGAGGAATTCGCTTGCATGCCGTGTACTCTTTGTACTGCTCAGTAAGCCAACTCACAGGCTCATAGCAGCACCCTTTTAACCGAAACAGCTTGTCCAGGGCACACTCTATATATTCAATTCTGATTATGCTAGGATCCACTAGCTCATAAAAATTGACATCAAGTGCTTGCCCAGGAACACATCCATGCTGAACCAAGGAATTGATCTTAAAAAGGATTTTGTATGGCAAGTTAATGCCAAGGGGTGGAACCACGATAGGAACCAGATCCGAAGTACAGGAGAAAGTGTTGCTGCTCTCCAGAACCAACCGCCCTTCATTTTCTTTATAATGAGCAAAACTCTTGCGTAGATTTGGAAGCTCACAAGTAGGTGGAAGCTCCAAACATACAGCAGAAGATTGCCCAATGCAGCGTGAAGGAGTGAAATCAACTTCTCGAACCCAGCCATTTTGAGAAGCTTTCTTGAAAATCCGAGGGGCACCAAGTAACTAGCAAGAGAAAGAAGAAAGGAGGAGCACAATGTTAGTCATTTGCCCTAAGTTCCAGACATAATATAGTAATTCTGCTATGCCATAAGGAACACAATAGTCTGTCTCAACAACATTTAAATTCTCTGCGCCGAAACAATGAAGTTATAGTGTTTGAGCAATTTGACATGAGATCAGATTATCATGTAGGAACTAGTGAATGGAAAACATCTTATTCAAGTATCTACTGCAACTGGTAAATGCTGAACCATCTTATTCAAGTATCTACTGCAATTGGTGAATGGAAAACATCTTATTCAAGTAATTATCTATGTTTAATTGTTGTTGCTTTTGAAGAATGATCTCATATTAAACAGAGCTAAATGCCACGGCTAAGTTTCATGCTTCTTGATGTATATATTAATCAACTTATGAACAGGGATGACTTAAGTTTACATATTAATCAACTTATGAACTTTGATCACTTGTTAAATTTAAAATTTAAAATTTGTATATTTCATGGCAAAATGCAAAGTCATGATTCACAAATTCTGTAGTTTAACTGGCAAACCTGGATTAGAAGAAAGTTTGGAAGTTGGCCACGTGGATGATATAGCTCAATCTGGCGAATACTTTCAGAGGAGATCTCTAGCTTGTATTCAACAGCATCAAGAGATAACAATAAGTTGATATTTTTAAATTCCTTCCCGAATTTCACCAAAACATCCGATCTTGCCCAAAGCACAGAAAACTGTTCCTCAGAAATCTGGCATCCCAAGTGAAGTTGTACAAGCTCCATGCAGTGCTCAAAGATTTCTGAGTTGGGCACCATGTCAAACTTTGCTTTTCTAGCTTTCAGATAAGATTTATTGTACCACAGGCTTCGAGCATCGGCTAATGGAATTATGATACCAGCAAATTTTGCATCTGTGAACTGAACTATGGCAAGTGTTCTTGAATTTCCATCTTTGGGAGGAAGAAACTTTATAGCATGAACACTTCCTTTTCCAGTATATGCCTCCAGAAATTCTGTCACTGCTGCTGGAGACTCGCTGGAGGAAAATCCATACAATTGAATTGTCTTAACCATTTTCATAATGTTGATGGCAACTGCTGCAGATTCAACGTACAAATTGATATTAATAACAGCAGAAAGAAAAACCAATTCTCCGAAGTAAATAACTGAGCTCAAAAAAATAAGTAAACAGAATTAATGCAGATGAGAAAAAAGTCTGACCTTGAATTTTTGGAATGTAAGCACTGAGATACTGAGATACTGAGATACTAAGATACGAACAAAGGCTGCTGTGTAAGAAGCAAAGCTCATGAAGCCATAATATATATAGGGAAAACAAGAGCACACAGAGGTGAGAGGGTGGAGTTCAATTTTTAAGTTCATCTCACACACTGTACATAACTTGCCATGGCAGTTGTAGCAGGGAATAAAAATTTTAAACTTGGCATGGCAGTTTTAGCAGCGAAGAAGAAAAAAAACTTGTCATGGCAGTTGTCCTATTGGCGCCAGTGTGTAGAATGACGACTGCCGCGATCCCCTGCTTCGCAACGAAGATTACGTGGCAAGGAGCCACTTTTTACAAAAGGGCAAGGTATCAAATTGTATTGTGACACGTGGCAACATCATGATGGACACAAATATTTTTTTACTACTCATTTGATTTTTATTTCATCAATTTTTTTTAGCAGATTTTTATTTGATCTTTATGACTTAAATGTTTGTCTCTCTTGTAACATGACATCACGTGAGGAGAGACGTATAGAACACATCCCGTTTTGTGTAAATTTTACCCTTACAAAATAATCAGTAATGCTCATATATGCGTGTACAACATTTGCATTAAAGATACTTTTGAGACTAAATGTACTTAAAAAGTTCATAAATCAAATTTGTGTTACGGTGGTAACTCTTAATTTAGCTTAAGGATGGTGAATCAAGCTGCTAGTTAAAATGAAATTGAACATTTGGCCAAGAACCTTCTGGAAGTTTTTGACCCGACCAGACATAAGGTCTTAGTCCTTGGGAGAAGTCTTTGCTAAGAATCTTCTAGAATCTCACAATGCCAATTGGCAGTGGGCACCTATACTCTCCATGATGGGGAATCTTTATCCTTACCCCTTGATGAGCAAGGTTAGAAACAGTAATGTATCAATAGAATAGAGTATGTGGAGTACTTTTTGAAAGATAGAACTTGCTCGGAAAGGGGTTACATGGAGCCATCCATGATCCATCACTCACCATCCTAGTTGGTGGGACTGTT